CGCACCACGCACGTGCGGGGCGGGGCGCGCGGCGTTGCCGTGGTTACAGACGACGCGCTCCGGGGACTAGCGGGCGGGCGCTTCCTGGGCGGGACTTGGCCGCCGGAAGTGCGTGGCCGTCCGAGGCCATGGCGGCGCTCGGCGTCTTCTGCATGCTGCTGGGGGCAGCGGCCGGCCCGTTCGCGGGCGCTTTGACAACCATCATTCAGAGCCATCTGAAATCTGGGGCCCGAGGCGGATGCGACCCCGGAGACACCTGGAGGGCTGGCTGTGCTCCGCGTGGAGGGCAGGCTCGGGACCTGTGAGCTGATGCGGGTTCCTGCCCGAGTTTCCTGGACCCCAGACTCGGAGGTTCGAACGGGACGGTTCTAGGAAGCGCAGCTTTGTTTGTGTGCGCGGGGCCTTCAGTATCCGCACAGATGCTGATGTTCACGTGTCGGGCCTGAGAAATGAGGGTCCGTGCAGGTCATCTTGGAACCAAGTAGACCTGTGCGGGGTGAGAGGCGCAGAGGTGGCAGATGGGCCGAGCCCTGGGCGCCGCACAGCCCGTCCATCTGTAGTCACGGGACCTGTGGGAACACAACGTGGAGAAGGGGGATGAGGAGGGGGAACGGTTGCCATAGACGCGCAGGGCCGGGGCCTGGGCCTTCGTAGCAGATGGGGTGGCTTTGGAGAGGGCAGCGGTTCTCAGAGTGTGTCCCGGGACCCCTGGACATACCATTTCAGTGGTAATACCGGAGTGGGGGAATTTGCCTTTTCACTCTTTCGCCCACCCCACCCCGGCTCCAGACCACCTGTGATATCACAACACATTGGATGCAGCAGCAGATGGAAAAATTTACAAACATTGCCACTCTTCTCACCAGTTATTTTTGTTTTGAAAAAATATATACTTACTTTTTATTGGAAAAGGTTAATAATGTGTAATGGATGTATTCCTTTGAAGTGAATTGATGCGTGCTTTTTAACGTTCTTGCATTCACTTTTAATGCAGGAATTATTTGTAGATTCAACCCACGGCCCTGCCTTGTGCTCTGAACCCCTCCTGGAACAAGTGCTGAGACTTGTGGGTGCCTCTGCAGAACCACGAGGACCACTCGCGTCCAGGGTCAGAACCAGCAGCGAGTCCCCTTCACTTCAGGGGTTGGTGGGCCACGTAGCATGTCCCATGGTATCCACCCCCTGAGCAGCCACAAGGAGGCAGAGATGCCCAGAGAGAAGGAAAGACCTGAGGGAGTGATAAAATGGTGCAGAGCCCTGCAGCCCCATCCCAGCAGTTCCAGTTTCTGATCCTGATCCCTGGGCACATTTCTTTAATCAGTAACTGGAGGGTCCTGAGGTGTAAACTGGGGAGAAAGGTTAGTACATGACAGAGGACCAGATGTGGCTTTTGAAATTGTCTTTATTTCTGATCATTCCTTTACAACCATCCACCCCAGGATTAACTCCCACACAGGCATCTTGAGCCCAAATCCTGCGTCCCTCCCCAAGCAAATCAGATCCATGTTTCTGATTGTAGGACACTTTGCCTTCGAGGTCCCATGAACTCCCCAGCCTTTGCCCCTGCAATCCTGTACCCGGGCTGGGTCCATCCCTTTCCCCATTCACTGAGCATGAACCTGAAACGTGGGTGCCCCCTGCATAATGCACCCCGGTCCCAGGTTTCAGCTTCCAAAGGCCCAGAAAGAAGCCTTTGCTGGGTGCACCCAGTGAGCAGGGTCACTACAGGGGCACATCATGGGCTCCATGTCATGAAAATGCCACGTCATGAAACTCACTATCGTGCTTGGTGGCAAACAGGATGGACTTGGGCTGTCCTAACTCCCTCAGTGTCCCTGTCAGCTCAGCCCGGATCAGGGCAAGTCTCTCCTGGTTGACGGTCCCCTGGGTCCTGTAACACTCCAGGGGGACAGAGTACAGCTCAAGCTCTAAACTGCACAGCCCGGCTGGGTGGCGCAGCAGCTTCTCCACGGTGGCCATGGGGAACTTGTTCTCAGGGATGGTGAAGAACCTGCGCTGGTGGCAGCGGCTCAGGACAGGCAGGATGGCCTCGACTTGGGAGTCCGCCATCCCAAGGTATCCAGGCTCTCTACCGCAAGTAAGCCTGGTCTTGTAGCCCTCCCTCATTCCTTCCTCAGTAGCTAATGTGCTGTGGGAGGTGCAGCAAGTGCTGTCAAACAAGAACATTTGTATACATGTTAATCTACTCTTATTTTAATCAAACTATAAAATAAAGCATAAGCTTGCAGGATGGGTGTTTTGTGTCCTCATCCAGGCATGGGAGATCCCAAGGGAAAAAGGAAACACCCATTTATTGAGCTCTAACTCTATACCAGGCCCAGTGCCAAGCCCTCAACATGCACCATCTCTGGATATTACAAGCATCCACTAAGCTGGGTGAGCACCATGATCCTCATTTTGTAGGGGAATTGAGCTTCTTGCCTAAGGTCCCCCTACCCAAAAGCACCAGCCCCTGAAACCTCAGCTTGGAGTCTTCATTTGGGTGCCCTTTGACTAGGGTCACTGTGAAGGGTCAATTTTATGTGTCAACTTGACAGCTCTAAGAGTTGCCCAGGTAGCTGGTAAAACAATACTGTGTGTGAATGGATGGGGCTAGCTTTGGATTCAGTCGATGAGTAAGAAGATCTTACAGTGTTGGTGGGCCTCCTCCAATTTCTTAGGGAACAAGAGGAATAGAAAGAGGAAAGAAGAATGAATTGTGTCTTCTTTGGCTGAGATGTCCATCTTTACACACACACACACACACACACACACACACACATCTTGGATTTCAGAGAGGAAGAGACAGGGATAATAGAAACATCAGTGATGAGAGAGAATCACTGATCAGATCCTCTTGCAACACAGCATGTGCCTTGACAGAGAATAGAACTGTGGCCTCCTGGTTTATAGTCGACCACTGAGCCTTGCCAGCCAGGTGTGAGATGACTATGTATACCTGCCCATGAACATTGGAGTTCCTGGTTCTCAAGGCTTCAAACGCTAGGCTTTACAGCAGCTGCCCTTTATTCTCAGGCCTTTGGCCTCTGACTGGGGGTTACTCCATGGGCTCCCTGGTTCTCAGACCTCCAGATTTAGACTGAGTTATACCATTGGCTTTACTGGTTCTCCAGTTTGTAAAACACAGATAATATGAGCCTAGTCCTATAAATGTCTTACATACGTCCATGTAGACCCTATTGGTTAGTCCGGAGAACGCTCCCTAGCAGAGGCAATACCTCACCCATTTATCCAGTTCCGTCACCCATCCTAACAGGATGACTTCAAAACATGATACTCTAGGCTTCCTCCATAGAGAGAGATTATGAGAATAACGCCAATTCCCCATGAATATGACCTCCCCCTCCCCAGGGTTATATTTCAATGTGGTATAAAAATACTAAGGAAAAGTCTTATGTTCCTGAATAACTTTAGTATGATGTTCAAA